GAGACTTTCTATTGATATTTCCACCTGCGCGCGTTCTAGACGGGCTGTCAGTCAGTGCAGTTACATTGTTGTGCCACAAGGTGGTGGAAAGGGACTGTCTTTGAGTGAGTCTTTAAACATTCATTCAACTACAAGTTCAAAAACGCTGATTCATTCAAAGAGACAAAATTAAAAACGCTGTTGAAATCATTTTAACTTTGAGCACCCCGTTAAAAGGCTCAGCTGACCAATGCGTCGATGCGAAGACAGATTTGGCTTTCCTTGGACAGGAGTACCTATCAAGGTTATTATAGTTTTGAATTTTTCAATTAGTTTTATTTTAATATCGTTTTCAAATTTGCTATACAATTCAGTTTAGTTTTTATTAGTGTCATTAATATTGTTGTTAGTTAGTTTAGTTTTTATTTTGTGAACGCATTTTTATTTAGATTTTATATAGTTTAGTTTCAGTTTTAATTCAAGTTTAGCAGAATTAACTGATCATTTCCAGAGCGCAGGCCAAAGAAAGACTTAGGCATAATTTAGCCTTAGTGATGCAAATGTCTAGCGACACAAAATTAACGCCTACTGAGATTGATTAAATAGTAAAAGTATACAAATATACGCCAAAATGAATCAATCAAGCCTTTTTACTAAATAAATCTACACAAGTTGTGCTTAATGTCATATCTAATGATGTGTATTGAGATATTTAATATGACAATAAATGTAGCCTAATTTGGTTATGATGGTTAGATGTCTTTTTTCTTTTTTAACAATCATAATATATTGTAACTGTCGTGTCTTGCTCACTTTTCCGTGAACAACTGCGCATAAATCATAACTGGGACGAATGAAATTCAATAATAACGGCAATCGCATTTAACAGTAGGCTAAAGGATCATATTTGAATATGTTCTTTTCATTTATTAAGAATTATAAGCGTGTTTATTATGTGATTTAGCCTATGCACATTTGTCCGAAAGCATAGCAGTGATCACAAGATGCTATGCTAAAGTTTTGTATTGTTTTCAGAAAGGATGCACTTTCTCATCTTTTTTTCTGTTAATTATTACGAGCCTCAGTACAAATCAGCATGGTACACATTATGTTATCATTACTAACTTATTTAATATTCAGTACACATGCACGAAGTGTAAAACGAGAAGGGCATAACCCTATGAAAAAAACAAACCGCAAAAATCGCGGTTCTTGCATTCCTCTGTGGTTTGCTCGTCAATAGCGCAGTATTGCGGTTATCGCAACAGCCCTAGCAGAAACAAGCTTCCATAGAAACTATAGCATAGTAGTGGTTTTAAATTATCATTTTATTTATTAATTCATTTTTGCATCTACATGATGTCAAAAGGATATTAGCAGAAATGTCAAATGTCACAAAGCCCAAGTCACTCCTCTCTCGTGGTCCTGTGAAGTCGTCTACATTTTTACTGGAGAAAGAAGGAAACAGAAGGATGAGAAGAATGAGAGGGCGAGTAAAGTGCCTCATTGCTGCTTAGATGTGTGTGACAAGATGAACCTACATGCACATTTAAAATGTACTAAAGTAAATAAAGTAATAGTATGAATAAAATAAACGCTAACAGGGAATCTTATAGAAACAATATAGGCCTAGTGTTCACTCTCTTTTACAGTTTCAGACACAGACAGCGTTTCACAATATTGTTGAATAAAACCATAAAACTCTACATATTAATTTAATTTGCATAGCTGATGTGCTGCACTGCTATTGGCCGCCAGGTCAGCAGCATCTACAAGTGCCATATGCTGCAAAAACAAAGGAATCTAAATGGACTGAGGTGCCTCTTGTATATCAAATATTTTTTGATGAGATTAAGACTGATTTCATATCGATGCTGTGGACGCAGACTCAGAAACGATGCAGGTAACTTACATCATGATTTTGGATACGTGTATATCCACCGGTATGCTTCTGTCTTTGAAGGCTGTGGTAATAAAGCATCCGAAAGTGAGAGCTGCCATCACACTGAGAGAGAAGGCGAAGAGCGAGTTCGCCCTCGACAATACCGTATTCATGATTCAATCTAGTTCTGATCAAACTAAAACAATGTAATGCAAAACAAAGATATATTGAAAAGCTCCGAGCGGAGCTTCAGAGCAGGAAGTGAGGCAGTTAAACGATGATTCGGAAGCAAGACCGACTTCCTGTTTCATTTTGGAAAGTACATACTGACATCCAGTGGTCAGGAAGTAGAATTGCATGAACAGTCAAAGAGCAACCTCTTTTTCATGTGGGTAACGTGTACAACGGTAGTAACCTTTTATCTTACACACCCAGTTGCTCCAAAGTTAAGGAGACTAAAGATGACAGAATTATGTTTAGGATTTACCCTGTTAGCGATTTTATACAGAAAATAATTATTTTTGAGGTGGGTTTTTGTTCTTCTTTTCCTGAAACACTTGATCACCTATTCTTTTACTGTGAGGTTGCTTCTAAATTCTGGTTTGATATTCATAGTTGGTTATTCGGTAAAAATGGAAACAATTCCTTCATTTGTTTTGCAAGATATCTTCTTTTTTTAAGTGTGATTTCAATTCTTTTTTTTTCAGATGTTGTCAACTTTGTTTTATTGTTTGGTAAATCTCATATTTGTACATGCAAATGGAAAAATGTAAGCCACCATTTAATATATTACTTTGTGAGTTTGTGAAAATGTTTCAGAGCTTTAAGCACTTTAAAAATCTAAATAGAGAGTTTGAAACTCTTTACCTCTCTCAAAATCCTATCTCCTATCTCAAAATACTTTTTGTACATCTATTGATTCCTACTCCTTGTGTTGTGTTTTTTTTCTTTTCCCCTCATTGTTGTTGTTATTGTTGTGAGTATAATAATTATTGTTTATGTTGATTATTTTAATTATTTATAGTGGATGTGCCTTATGTTGTTGGATGTTCCCTGTCTTATGTTTATTTTGCAATTGAAAGAAAAGTGTGAAACACTTTTGAAAGTGCACAACGGTATACAAATGTATATATATATATATATATATATATATATATATATATATATATATATGCAATACAAAAATATACACCACATAATAACCACTGAGTAATCAAAAACTCATTAATTAAAAAAAAAAAAGTTTCCTGCAGGAAATAACCCTGACTATTTGTGTATGTGGAATTTCCCCCAAATAATAAAAATTTGTACAACATAAATCAAAATATTTACATTTGTCCATAATAGGCTTTTATGAGAAGCTGATTCATCTATTATAATGTTTATTAGTACAGTTGTGCTTGGAAATATTAATATCGCCTATGAACATTTCACAGAACCACTTACAAGTTCTTAAAAAAATATAAAAGCAAAATTAAATGTTTGTAAAATTATTTTTCGTAAAATCACTGTATTAATACTTGTCAAAATATGATAAAGCTCAGATGATCAACCAAATGCTTCATCCTGGTGACTCTTCTGTTATTGGATTAATCATGGCTGACTGTGAAGAGGCATTTGTTTCATAAACAAAAATACAGTAATCTGAAGACATTGCTCTATAGCAACAATATGTTACAATACAAATAGCGTAATGAAAACAAAGCTATCACTATGTATCATGAGACAAACATCCCAACAAATGACGACACCTATTGTTATGCCTCAGTCAAGTGGCCCATTTTCCACTAGTTATAAGTACAGCTGCCTTATCTCATCTCTTCTCTGGGCCCAGCTGCCTTGGGGAATAACTGGGCCGGCCTGGCATATGATCCCCAACAACACATCCCTGGATCCCATTCCAAAACATTTACTGTCACTGAGCAGCAGCAATGACTGAGATTTTGGAGAAGCGGCCTTTCGGCTCACAGTATACCAACGTCTATCTCTCGATTTTTGCCCTTTTTTGCTTCAAATTATTTGTCAAGATCAGTTTAAGCATACTGACCCACTTCTATGTGGTTAAAGGAAACCGTAATGAGGCGGCCCGGATCGCAGCTGAGTTCTATGATTTTGGCCAAGGGCACAGTAAGTACGCAAGAATGGGACATATTGAGGCTATATATTTTGGAGCATGTTCTGAGACACTATAGGGTCTTTATGTCTCTTTGTAAGGTACGTAAAACTTTAACTGATTGTATAGGGTGTGAAAGAGAAAGCTTCTGCAGCATGGCCCAGTTTGTAACACTGAGAAAATTGGGTCAGCGTGTTCTTACCTAATACTGAGTTAAGGAAAATTATTTTCTCACAGAATTTTTAAATGACTGTGTTGACTGAATACAATGTTGAAAAAGCAATAGCAATTTAAACGTTTTGAAATTAAAATTGTATAGTAATGCATCCGTCATATTTATTAATTAATCTGTAATTTGACACTCTGAAGTCTACAGAAAAATGGAGTGATTTTGTCTGTAGAAATGATCCTCTCTCTGTATGATTCTCACTCCTTTTTGTCTTTTTTGCCCTATATTATTCCTTACTATGACCTAATAACATGCAAATTTACCTGATGTGAAATGCTAAACAAGTTACTGAGATGACTGCTTGCATTATCAATTATTATCCGCAACCTGCTTGGCTTCTGACAACAACAGACAAAGCATCAGACAAACGGAAATGTTTGGCTATATGACGCAAAAGGACGTGTGACGTACTGTAATATTAAAATAATTTAAAACTAACAAATTCTACAATAGGCCTACATCTATTTTTAATAAATGTTAAGTGAAAAAGCCATTTAGAATCCTGATTCTATTATTAGCTACTTGCGTCGGAATAATAGTGGCAGCGTTCTAATCTTAACCTGAGATATAAATAGTATTACTGACACGGACTTGGTATTATGTTGAATATTTATCTCATGAATATAAAGTACGTTGCGTGACGTGCGCCCAGTAGGCGTAATCGCAGTAAGTGGGCGTTTATTTTTCCTACTATGGCAAAGGCTCGGCTTGTGAATATTAATTACGTTACGTGACCAGAAGCTCCTAAAAAATGAAGCAAGCAACGTCAAGTATACGTCAGCAACGTCAATGTGACCTTATTAATATTCATAAGTTAGCCAACGCGACTCTAATGAGATCTGAAACAACAACAAGCCGAGCAGCCAATCAAAAAGGGGCGCTAGTCACAGTCGCTCTACCCCAGAGAGGAGTACACAGAGCTGATGCAAACATGCCTGAAGTTCCCTACAGAGAACCCGAGTACTCAGAAAATACTCCCAAGAAAAGAAAGCGAGAGGACGTCGACGATTTTTCTGAGAAAAAGAAATCGCGCTGGGGTATTTTGATTAGTCAAGGTGAGTTATCGACACGTGTAAATAAATGTGCCTTTATATTGCGCCCTGCTGTCACCTTGCAGTAATGCATTTGTATAAGGGCGGACCTTTTATGTAAAACGACAAATAACATTTTAAGTAATATTGGATAATATAAAAATGATTATTTTATTATAATATGATTAATATGATATTCTTAATATTATGGTTAATATCATAAACATTGTTTTATATTTAGCTTATACATAAATAATATGTTTTCATGGTTAAAAAATAAGAAAATTGAATGAAAAAAAAAGAATGGACTAAGGATGGATATTAACTACATAATTTACACAGTGTCAGTCAGAAGCATGCACACCTGCAAGCATCATTCTCAGTAGAGCAGAAAAAAATAACATTTTGTTCCAAAGCCTGGTTAGTGTATCCTATATTCCCCACAACCCAAATACAAAACTGTCTTGCTATTTGCAGACTATGCAACAGTAGCAGTAAGTATAGGAACATAAAAATAGTAGCATGCACTATGTAATGTGTTTACCATGCAGGGCCGTTTTAACCATAGGGCTAGGCGGGGCTGAAGCCCCGGGCCCGAGCAAGGAGGGGGCCTTTGATTGGCTGTGGAGTAGATTGACTGGAGCGCCGATCGCCAAAGCCACCACGCCCCCCAATAGTTATGTGTCAAAATGCCCGTCTTTGCGAGTATCCTCGTAAACACAGTTATTTGTGTCTTAAATTAATGTTAACAGTTAAAGATAAAGCATGTGTTAGGCTATATGAAATCCTTAGCCTATATGATTTAAATATCGCATGCGATTTATCGTGCAGCCCTAGTAAAAATCTATCTGATTTTATTGCTGCACACAGCTAAGTTTAGTTATTTCTAGTTGGCAGAATTTGAACCCTCTTAGCAAGGTCATGAGAGTTCAAGTAAACACAGTATGGGCTATTATGTGTTGTGTTTGGACTCCTTCTACATTATGCTTTAGACTTGGTCTTTTACCCTATAATGCGTAGGGGAGGGATTCCTTTTTATAATTGCAGTGTGCCAGAGAATAGTTGAATAGTGCTGTCTTTGACTTGTAACTTTCCTGCTTAGGCTAAGCAAGGAAGTTACAAGTAGTCCTAGTCTCCATGGAGCCCAGATGTAGTCACATGAACAGAACAGGATCTGGAATATTCATGAAAGCTTTCACAGAGTCTCAATAAAGACGTTTTGCTGTTAAACAGCCAGCATTCATACTGAGCAGTGCCGGTTTCTCTGACCTAAATTGTCACTATTGAAGTAATTTTAACTAATTATTTTTTATATGGCATAATGCCAAAGAAAACACAAAATTGCATCATTAAATGATATTAGCATCTAATAATCTAGTATCATTGTAATTGACTGAAGCACAGCTGTGACCTAAAGTTCCACATGTCAGTGTGGAATCTCAGTGGCAGTAACTCATCTCCTTCGCTCAACTAAACTAAAAAGAGAAGACGGCTGCTTTTTTGCGCCTCAAGATGACAGCCGTCCTTTCATTTACAGGCTATGGTGTATTCGTATCAATGGCTAGATGTGCTGTGGGGCGACGGAGACCTTGGTACTTAACAGAACCTATTGCTCTTAGGCCTCGTTCTGTGCCAGCAATGGCAGTAGCAGAAGGCAGTTGTCATATGTTGTTGTGGCTAGATTGAGCTCCTGCTAAATATAGATCTCCTCAGTCCACTGTGAATAGATACATACCTATGGTATGAGCTGCTAGTACTGTGAATGAAGGCATATGTAACACCCTCACAACTATTCTGTTACACATACGATTCTGGTTCTGACTAAATATAAAATGTCTGAAGACAGTGTTGTTGGTAGCTGTGTTGTTGCTTATGTGGTCAGTAGGTTGATGCAGTTGTTTAATTGAGGAATCTTCAAAATGCAGACTGAGGACCCCCAGGAGGTTTCAGGGAGGTGTTAGGGGATCTATGGAAAATATGAGAAAAAATAAGAAATATTTTACAAAACTACTTTTTTATTAGTATAATTATTTTCTTAGGGATATTGATGGTAACTTGTTAACTAAGATATTTATCAAATTTGTTTAACATGATCATTTTTAACACATTGCTTTGAAATTATTATTTATTTTAATTTTGAGAAGCACTTTACAAATAAATCTGAATTGAAAATACACTATGATAAGTTTATGCATCTAACAATAAACATTTAACATTAATGATGGGTTAAAAATATAGAATTATAATAATAATTGTCAATATATTTCATGGGTAGATAGATTTTTGATAATTAAACTTTTTTTTATTCAAAATATTTTAGGATTTTTTAGCACAAAATTATTGCTCGCCAGTAAAGCTGGTAATGAATACTTTGACACTGAAATGGCTTCCGCTCAAACGCATAATAGAAAAGACATGCTGTCCAAAATGCCCCGTTGCCAGTAATGGAGAGCCCTGGCATTTGCTGCCCAGGAATAATGAATGCCATGGATCGTCCACTGAGTTTTTGTAAATGGGCAAATGGGCTTTTATTATGTGAGGTGTTTTGTAAGTGTATCCTTTATACATGAAATAGTATAGCTGCCTTTATAGGAGAATAATATTGCTTTTATTCCTACATACTGATAACATAGCCCGATTTTTATTGTGCATTTTATGTAGTGAAATCATTTCATTTACATTTTGTATCGAAGCAACACAGGGAAATCTGTTCAAATGGCTCAACAGTTCAAATGAGTCGACCTTTATTGTATCTAGAGAGCTGATCTACTCTCATGTTAGTTGATAATGCTTTGCCATTTTCAGCAATTCCACTCACGGGCTCTCTGCTCAACAGCTGTCAGTGGGCAGTGTCAAAATCACCAGTGCTTACACCACTCTCACTTTACAATGTACTAGAAATTATATGAAGTCTGGCTGTGGCTGAGTGGGTGTATTTAAAGCTTTTGAATTACATGGTGCTCTTGGTTGGCTTTTAAATACAGCAAATGATGGTTGCTGTAAATTATGTTAATGTAACTTTTTTGAGGTTATTTTGTAGTTTGTTTTTCTGAGATGAAAGGGCATTTATTAGTCATGGGAAACAGTTGGGTGTCAGTACATTTGTTTATTATTAAGAATAATCTGATGTGTGTTCACAGGTTCATGGGCGGATCGTTCACCACTCCATGAAGCTGCGTGTCAGGGTCGACTTCTGGCGCTTAAGACTCTTCTCGCACAGGTTCACAAACATATGCACATACATAAATGGAGCAGAAATAGCTAAAAATAGGTCAAATTAATATGTTAGCATTTTTAAAAAGAAAATACATAATTTTTCTGGGGTTTTTTCTCCATATTACCAGGGTTACAGTGCAAATATCATCACCATTGATCATGTGACTCCACTACACGAAGCTTGTCTGGGAGATCACGTAGCATGTGCCAGGGCTCTCATAGAAGCTGGTGCCAATGTGAGTTACAGTTATTAAACAACATATTACAGGTTTTTCAGCAACATATACATATTTTATATATGCCCAAATAAAAAACACAGCTTATTGATTCCATGCATATCAGTGTCTGTTATGGGTAGAAATCCTACATTTGTATAGTAGAAAACTGAAAAGGCAGCTTGATCTGTTTGTGTGGAGTGTGCTGTTAAAATGTTCTTGTACATGGCAGGTGAATGCTACGACCATTGATGGCGTGACCCCGCTGTTTAACGCCTGCTCAGCAGGAAGTGTCACCTGCACAGAGGTGCTTTTGGAACATGGAGCAAAACCACAGGCAGAAGCGTGCCAGCCTTCACCAATTCATGAGGCCTCCAGCAAAGGTACGTAATTCTGCTTGCCAGGTAACTGCTCTAATCTAACCACAAAAAATCAATTGATTTGAATGCATTTGTAGTGAACAGCACATTCCAGGGCCCAGTTTATGGCCAGTTTATAGTGGACAAAGGTTTGCTATTTTGATTGGATATTGGTGGACTACTGGTGGAAACTGTCCAACACCATCAGATAAAGATGCAAGACAACAGCCAGGCACCTCTTAGAGGGCAAGAAGAAGACCTCTGGTACCAAGGAACGACAGGACTTTCTGCCCTTCACCCACCTAGAGACTGATTCCTAAGGTTTTGGCCTGTGACCGCCATAAAAAAGTCCTTAGGAACTCCAGAAGCGCAGCAGTGGGTGAAACAAAGAGAAAGATCACAAAGATCCATCCAAATCCATTCATATCTATGTTTTAAAACCGTAAAACTGATGAAACTACAACACATCCATCTAATACTTATTCAGAGAAATAATTATTCTCAGTGACAGCTATGTGTAGTGCAACATCTAACACAAACTCAGCTGTTAATGGTCAAATAAATGCATACAAGACAGTTCAATCTTCATGTTTGGACTTGATGCGTTCGTAACATTGCCAAAAGCATGGTTGTGGTTTGGAAAGTGAGAAATGCACAGGTAAAACTTTAGTGACATTTTTCATTTTTCTAACTTTGTGTTTGGACTATGCAAATAAGTTCCACAGAAGGAAAGAAGGGTGAGCCACACTATTTTCCCCCGCTCTGATGGAAACAGCTAATCACAGCATGGAAATGGAGAAGTGTTAAATTGCAATCTCCTTCTCATCTGAAAGGGATAAAGGTACCCTTCCAAAAGACACTCCTTATTCTGAGTCTCTGGCACGTCCAGTGAGACACTTACAGATAAACTTGTTCTGAGTCTCTGGCCCATGAGGGAAGAGGCAATAGCAGCTATAACAATGACTCTACAAGTTCTGAGCCTGCAGCCCACTACTGGGAAGGCAGCAACAGACCCATTTGTCTTGAGTCTCCAGCTTTTGAGGCAGTAACAGATAGGACCACGTTCTGGGCCTCCAGCCTGCAAGGAAAGAGATACTCTACGTTCAGAGTCTTTGTCCAGCAAGACAACAACAGATGCAGCACGTCCAAGTGAGACAAAGTGGATTGACCAAGTTCTGACTCTCTAGCCCAGAGAGGCAGAAGACATACAGACATTTGCAACAAGGTGAAGCTCCAGCGAGCAAACCTTCACTTCAAGGTACTTTCGTCTGCGTATTCCAGGCAAATTACCTTCTGCACCTACTCCAGGGCCACATCTGCATTCCAGATTTAGACTTTTTTGGTGCTCCAGGAAATCAGCATCCTACAGCAGTTCGTGTTCATGGTTGTTGAAACAGATTTCTGCTCCTTTGCCCACTGCATTGTTACCAGCACAACCAGTGGAAGAAGTCACCACCACCGGACTGTTCACTTGACTGAGAGAACATAAATATCACTTATCCAAACCTCTTCCAGAGACCGTGGCATTAAATGTTATATAGTTGATGTCAGCTGATAACAAATGATTCATTTATTTGTTTGATACATAATAGGGTTCTTCACTTTATTGCCCTGTTGAAAAAAAAAACAGCATATGCTGGTTAGGTATGATTTTAAGCATGGCAGCTGGTTTGAGCTGGTTCAAGCTGGTCCTTTGCTGGTTATGAGCTGGTCCTGAGCAGGAGCTAGTTGCTTAGGACCAGCACATGACCAGCTTAAATGAGCTCATAACCAGCTTAAACCAGCTCATGACCAACTAAGGACCAGCTCAAACCAGCTGCCATGCATCAAAACATACCTAACCAGCATATGCTGTTTTTTTCAACAGGATAGTAGTCTCAGTTTATCTTTTCATAAGAAATCGTAACTCTGCCATTGCAACATCCAACTTAATCACTTGCATTTTATGCATCTTATGCACTTTATTCCTTTTTCATTTATGGTATTCATTTAGTAGTTGTTGATAAGTCGTGCCTATCTTTTGTTAATAAAATTGATTTTTTTATTACACTTGTGTCTTCCTTGTGTTGATAATACAGAAAGAGGTTCTACAAGTTAGATATCCCACCAATCTTTCTTATCCGATGTACTCATAACTGTACCTTAAGTGACACGTGATCCAAAAATCATAACGTCATTGGTGACGTGAGTACCCATTACTACACTATTTCGCCTCCCTGGTTGGCGAAAGCAAAATCACTAAACATTTATAGCAGAGGTTACAAAAATGTAAACATACATGTGTTTGTTGTCTCAGGCCGAACAGCATGTATAGAGTCTCTCATCTCGTGGGGAGCAGATGTAGATTATAACATCCCTCATCTAGGAACACCTCTCTACATTGCCTGTGTCTCCCAGCAGCTCCAGTGTACACAGAAACTTCTGGATGGAGGTGAGTTTGATGTGGCTCTTTGCACACTTTTACTGTTCAAACTACACACAAAAAGAAATTCAGTTACTTGGTGTATTTTGGTGTGTGGTCAGGTCATCTCACCTTAGTTCTTTAGTTTTTATTTTACCCTATCATAAATTAATTTGTTTTTCTTAGGAGCAAATGTGCAGAAGGGCCGTTTCCTGGACACACCGCTGCACGCTGCAACACAGAAGGACTGTCCAGAAATCATCAGAGTGCTACTAGACTTTGGCGCTAACATCAACGCTCGCAACCTGGAGCTACAAAGGCCGGTAGAAACAGCGCCACCCAGCAGTGCGGCAGAGGCTGTGCTTCTTCTTTATGAGGGTAATGTTGCTCAGTTGATTTTGACAGGAAAGAGAGGGAATGGGTTGAGGAAATAAGCCAGGGTCTAGTGTGAATGTTGAATGCAACTTAAAGAAAAAAATTATCTTTGATGAATTGATGAAATATTTTAGGCTAAAAGATTGTCTGGTGCTGAAATCACCCATTCACATGCTACGTCAGTCATTCCAAAGTTGCACCTTCTGTACATTATAGCCTATATTACTGTTGAAATGAGTAAACTACTATAATTAAATTCATTTATGAAAATGTTCAGTTAAAACTGTAATGTTTGAGTTAAAATTACAGAAATTATTGTGATAAATTTAAATGGATGGGAACATAATAATGAAAACATTTTTTCAGTTATATACAGTATATATATATATATATATATTTTTTTATTATTAAAAGGGGGGATATTGCTAACTTTGACTGTCTCTTCCTTGATAGCCACGCCGCGGTCTCTCTGTCAGCTGTGTAGACTGAGTATCCGAAACTACATGGGCCGATCCAGACTGCATCTGATTCCACACCTCAAACTGCCTACTCTGCTCAAGAGTTTCCTCCAGTACAGATAAATTATCTACCTCCAACCATAAAGCCCCTCCTGCTTTTTTAAGTGCATTAATACACAAAAAGGTCACCCAGTCTTGTTTGTGACCACCAGTCCACAAAAAGCAAAATCATGCTAGCCATTAATTTTACTTCTTCTAAGTTCAAATGTTTTTTTAACTGATATATTTTTGTGCAACCAATGAACATCAGTTATATTTTTGTAAATAATATCTTAACAAGAGTAATGTAAATTAGTCATTTTTAACCTGCACATTCTTATATATCAAGCTGCATGCCTAATATGATACACATTTATCACGTCAGGATCAAATTATTGAAGTGCATGTCAGTATAGTGAATTTTATATTTTTATCAAAGTAATCTAAAAAAAAAAATCCCAAAAGCACAACTCTACAGCTTTCACAAAATCTTTTTTTTTTTCAGTTTCCCAAGTTAACTGCATCCTGAACTCTTTTGAAAATAAAACAGAAAACCTAATCTAATACTGTACTTTGGCTAAACATTTTGTTGCCAAAACAAAGCATGATACACACAGTAACTTGCATAGAAATAAAGAATGATATGTAAAATGTGATGATCTAATTGGTCTCCCTTTTCTTTGTCATGGCAGTTGGTACTGTAAATGTATTATTATTTCAATCCTAACCAATGAACTAATTATTTCAGTCATGTTCAGTGTAGTGCACTACTCATAAGCAAAAATAAAGTCATGAGATTTCTTGTACACTTCACCTTTTTAATAGTATTTATCAAATCATAGTCACAAAAAGAAGGTAATTTATCATTGACACAGTTTTGCCTATTCTTCTATCTTGCCTTGCATGTTTATGATCAGTCAAAATAAACAGATGAGACACTTGAAGCATGCAGAATTTGGACCGGTCCTGGCTTAATCCAATGCCTGACTCTACTTCAGGATCAATATATGACATGTAGCTGTCCTCTTTGCGTATTAACAATTATCATATGAATATGCTATGTACACCCATTAGAGCTTTATTTAGAGTTCAGACATTCTAAATTCTAGAACTATATACAGATAAATACATTTCACAGTGCAATTAGATGAAAATAGTCTCTGTATCTGTATTTTCTAACATAAAACCAAAATTTCATAAAATAATTCCTCCAAACCATTTCATATACCCAGCTATGTATGACAGCCATTGCAACTGATGATTTTACCAATACAAACGACACTTTTTGTCTTTTATTTCCTAACTTCAGAAATGCACTCCAAACATATAGCTATGTATAAGCAGAAATGTCTTGCTTCCTCACTCTATAGGTGCAGTTTCTCAAACTTATTGCCTAAGTTCATCTAGACATACAGTATTTTGAATGTAACAGCAAGACTTAATGTCCTATTAACTATTTGTAAATAGTGTTGCCATACTTTATGAATAGAAATATTACACATCTGGCCCCAGACCTGCTCTGTATACCCATTCATAATAGTTCCTGAATGAAATGAAGTAACATTAAATAGTGATTGTTACAATATGAGGTTTCATTTCTAGTATTTGGTTCTACTAAAATAAGTAATAAGTGTATATTCACTAGTCAGTAAATATATTGTTCATATAAAGCAGACAACAGACATGGCAAACAACTTTTGCAGCTAACTAATATGTCTCTCTTGTGAAATCAAATGCACAAACAAAAATGTACAGATGAATACCCTGTAAGTCTTGAATTAAAAGATGTCTAGATCTTCTAAACATTCAGGCTGCTTGATGAAAATGCTCAAACTCCATAATATCAGTGACAGTACCACCTAGAATTACAATCTTTGGGCTACAGATCTCAACCCTAAGACCTGAACGTGACACCTAAACCCGAATCCCTGAACCCGCTTATGTTTTAAGATAAGGAAGAAAGGCATTACATATCCTGCTTCATATGTAACATTCATTACTGTTTCCAGCATAAATCTCTCTTTATACAACAGTTAGTTGTGGTGCTCTAATTTGGTTGGCCTGTATCAAATTAACATGTACTTGTGCGTGACGAGAAGATATTTACTCTTCATATCCTTCTGCTTGCCTATGTTAGTGCATCAGTGTCTAGTTGCTTGTCAAAAATGCATTTGCCTTCTTTTGAAACAAAAGAACTTGCATTACTTTATATTGATTTCTTGTTTACTGAACTGTTGTATAAAAGAAATATCGCATTTGTGCTGTTGGCCTTGTGTACTGTATGTTCACTACAGCAGCACTCTTGCTTTTGCTGATTGTTTGCATATAAGCTGCAATCCTGAATGAAGTAAGCACAGCATGGAACGGTAAAGCCTCAAATAATGTTGATTTGAACACAATTTGACTTTCTTTTGTTTTATGACATACATCAAGCTTTCGGAGAGAAAATGGATGCCTTGTCGCCTTTCCAGAGCCAGACTAGCAAGAATACTGCTCACATTTGTTGTATTTGTGCTCAGAAGGGGTTGAGGCGTATACCCGTCCCCAACGGAGAGAAAGGGTTTACTTTCGCCCACATCAGGGCATCATTTAGTGAAATGGCTGATTTGCCATCTTCCAGGAAGAATGCTGGACCCTGCCAGGGAAGAAAAGGCATATTTAAGTTCAGTGATATTTGTATAGTGCTAATACAAGACTATCCACAAGAAACCCACCTGTATCCTGAGGCCAGTGAAGCAGGAAATCTGGACATATTTCAATCCTAATCAATGAACTAATTATTTCAGTCATGTTCAGTGTAGTGCACTACTCATAAGCAAAAATAAAGTCATGAGATTTCTTGTACACTTCACCTTTTTAATAGTATTTATCAAATCATAGTCACAAAAAGAAGGTAATTTATCATTGACACAGTTTTGCCTATTCTTCTATCTTGCCTTGCATGTTTATGATCAGTCAAAATAAACAGATGAGACACTTGAAGCATGCAGAATTTGGACCGGTCCTGGCTTAATCCAATGCCTGACTCTACTTCAGGATCAATATATGACAAGTAGCTGTCCTCTTTGCGTATTAACAATTATCATATGAATATGCTATGTACACCCATTAGAGCTTTATTTAGAGTTCAGACATTCTAAATTCTAGAACTATATACAGATAAATACATTTCACAGTGCAATTAGATGAAAATAGTCTCTGTATCTGTATTTTCTAACATAAAACCAAAATTTCATAAAATAATTCCTCCAAACCATTTCATATACCCAGCTATGTATGACAGCCATTGCAACTGATGATTTTACCAATACAAACGACACTTTTTGTCTTTTATTTCCTAACTTCAGAAATGCACTCCAAACATATAGCTATGTATAAGCAGAAATGTCTTGCTTCCTCACTCTATAGGTGCAGTTTCTCAAACTTATTGCCTAAGTTCATCTAGACATACAGTATTTTGAATGTAACAGCAAGACTTAATGTCCTATTAACTATTTGTAAATAGTGTTGCCATACTTTATGAATAGAAATATTACACATCTGGCCCCAGACCTGCTCTGTATACCCATTCATAATAGTTCCTGAATGAAATGAAGTAACATTAAATAGTGATTGTTACAATATGAGGTTTCATTTCTAGTATTTGGTTCTACTAAAATAAGTAATAAGTGTATATTCACTAGTCAGTAAATATATTGTTCATATAAAGCAGACAACAGACATGGCAAACAACTTTTGCAGCTAACTAATATGTCTCTCTTGTGAAATCAAATGCACAAACAAAAATGTACAGATGAATACCCTGTAAGTCTTGAATTAAAAGATGTCTAGATCTTCTAAACATTCAGGCTGCTTGATGAAAATGCTCAAACTCCATAATATCAGTGACAGTACCACCTAGAATTACAATCTTTGGGCTACAGATCTCAACCCTAAGACCTGAACGTGACACCTAAACCCGAATCCCTGAACCCGCTTATGTTTTAAGATAAGGAAGAAAGGCATTACATATCCTGCTTCATATGTAACATTCATTACTGTTTCCAGCATAAATCTCTCTTTATACAACAGTTAGTTGTGGTGCTCTAATTTGGTTGGCCTGTATCAAATTAACATGTACTTGTGCGTGACGAGAAGATATTTACTCTTCATATCCTTCTGCTTGCCTATGTTAGTGCATCAGTGTCTAGTTGCTTGTCAAAAATGCATTTGCCTTCTTTTGAAACAAAAGAACTTGCATTACTTTATATTGATTTCTTGTTTACTGAACTGTTGTATAAAAGAAATATCGCATTTGTGCTGTTGGCCTTGTGTACTGTATGTTCACTACAGCAGCACTCTTGCTTTTGCTGATTGTTTGCATATAAGCTGCAATCCTGAATGAAGTAAGCACAGCATGGAACGGTAAAGCCTCAAATAATGTTGATTTGAACACAATTTGACTTTCTTTTGTTTTATGACATACATCAAGCTTTCGGAGAGAAAATGGATGCCTTGTCGCCTTTCCAGAGCCAGACTAGCAAGAATACTGCTCACATTTGTTGTATTTGTGCTCAGAAGGGGTTGAGGCGTATACCCGTCCCCAACGGAGAGAAAGGGTTTACTTTCGCCCACATCAGGGCATCATTTAGTGAAATGGCTGATTTGCCATCTTCCAGGAAGAATGCTGGACCCTGCCAGGGAAGAAAAGGCATATTTAAGTTCAGTGATATTTGTATAGTGCTAATACAAGACTATCCACAAGAAACCCACCTGTATCCTGAGGCCAGTGAAGCAGGAAATCTGGACAGCAGAGTGGCTGGGCAAGTTGGAGCCAGTGACATAGTCGGGACCTTCTAGGCCCTTGATAGGCTCCTCACTCATCCGACTCAACAGCTGGCTGTACTCCCTTTTCTGGGCCTCAGATGGTGGATTGTACAATGCACCATCTGCCGCTCTGTGTATGTGTAGAGAGACAAAAAGACTCAATCCAGTATTTCATGATACAATAGCATAATGAGAGATTTACAAGCAATTTAATCAGCTGGCCATTTTTGACAGAGAACACCAAATTAGGTAAAGGATTTTCAACATGGCAGAAGTGTTAAGGACAGTGCCCTAACTGCAGTGCATTCTAGGAGTGCATTTTCCATGATCCTCACTTGGAAATTGTCTAAAATAAGGTATCTGTTAAGGCAGCATAACTTTGCATACTGATTGGAATAGCGTACAACGTTTTAAAATACTGACTTTGAAACAAAGCCATTGTGAATTACAGTAATGTATTTTGGTACAGACTTGAGGGAATATGTGCAGGCTCTCCAGGCCTCCAACTCTACAGACAGCTGCTCTATCTGCAATGGCACAGCCACCTCTCTCCTCTTCAGCAGCTGACTGAGGGAGAAAGATAGAGAGAGAGAAAGACATTAATTGCGATATTTACACCATTAATTGAGTAACTTAATATACATCCAACAGGCAACGTACCTTGTGTATTCATACAGTGCTGGCACTATACTTGAATACTGTCTCCCAATGGCAAATAGTGCACCAATATACCCACAGAGAATAAGCAACTCATTGCGTTCTCTAGCCAAAGACACAGAGAGAGAGAGAGAGAGAGAGAGAGAGAGTGAGATGACCATAGAATGAAAGCTGCTATAAATGACATCATCAACAGGTGTTTTTGAGGGAAGGTCACTGACTTACTCACTACACTTTGGAAGAATAAGACGGTCTGTTCTGATGTAGCTCAGCAGGTCTAGGATGTGGTACACAGAGTCCACCGTCCAGTCAGGAGAGCTCAGCTGCTCTATTGAGGGAAGAGAGTCAGTAATCTATTGTTGGCTGTATTAAGACCTTTTCATCAAGGCATCAGTTGTGCATTCGGATAACACAATCTTGTGTTGTCATCATGAATTGTTTATTGTTTTATGTACTGTAGAAGGTCTACACTGTAAAAAGGAAACCAGGCGAACTTGAGGCAACCAGCTTTAGGACTTTTTAAGTATATTCAACTTATGGAAAAATGTTGCATCAACTTAATTAAAGTTGGCATAATATAATGTGTTCTAGAAATTCAAAACTAATCATGTTTTTTTTTTTTGTACTTGTGGGTCTAAGATTAAGTTAAGCTGACTAACATTACATAATAGTTATTATGAGAACTTTCTTAGTTTGTCTAACTTGTGTTTCAGTTTGTGTAATAAACTGAACAGTTTTATAGAATCACTTATATAGACCAATATAAGTTGTATATACTCACACGTCAAATCGAAGAAACTTCAATGAAGAGAACACTAATCACTCTAATGGTGAACCTTAACACTTGCAACAAGTTAGTTGCTCGTACTAAATTGCCTTTATTGCATTGCTTTTTTAAAGTAATGTCTAATTTTTCTACATTCGATAGTTCAGTCAACCTTTAAAATAGAGTTTGACAAAATGTAAATATGCAGTATGCTACACTAAGTATGCATAGTCTGTAAAACGAACATGTTCTGGAAAGTGCACTGTAATGAAATATGAAGTTGAATAAGTTAGACACAGATACATTTTCTCTGTGTCTAAGACACTCACCTTTGACATATGTGATCCCAATGGGAAGAGCTTTTTCTGGTTCTGGGCTCAGGAGGTAATACTTTACCGCTGGGAAGATTTCTCCCTCAGCATGTGCACTTTCAGCAAGTTCTTTACATTCCTCTAAAGTCGGTAGACCACACTGGAAAAAAAAAAAAAATATTATTATAAAATATTATAGTTAAATAAATGTCTGCCTTTGCAGAATATACCATTTTCACTTCAAATAATAAACACTATGGATTCTTGTTTGGTTTTTCACAATCAATGCATGAATTATTTTTACTGGGTTAATGGTGAACATTGGGGAGTATGAATGAAGTAGCTACCTTTTCGTGAAGGTCATTGATTTCGGCTGAGCTACCAGGGTAGAAGGCACACAGTTTGGCTAACAATATCTCGTTATCAGGGATCATCTGAAGTAATCTTGCTGCAAGATCCCTAGGGAGTAGAAGACCCAATGCAACATGAGTTAAGCACAGGGAAAAAGTGGACATGCCATTCATTCTGTGGAATACAAAAAGTGAGTTTTTGAATATTTTAATGTAATATATTACAAACTAATCGAATATTATAAACTAAATGAGGGCTTTCAAGAAGCATCTTAAAAATGAATACATACACTAGAATATATACACTACACATACACTGAAAGTGAATATATTCACTACCTATTGTTTAGGGGCAATACGATTTTATTTATTTATTTATTTTTTGACAAGGATGTAAATGCACCAATCAGAAGTGACAGTACAGACTTTTACATGTTACAAAAAATGTTAATTGATAAGAAATGTTGGATAAATGATCTTGGAAGGATTATATAACAATGTAGACTTCTGAAAATTCAGCTTTGCCATGACAAAAAAAAAAAACAAAAAAATAAACAAATAAATAAATACAATTAAATATATATTTTAAGTTATTTAAAATCATAATAATATTTTGTTTTTAATGATTTTTACTTTATTTTATTTAATGTTTTGATCAAATAAATACAACCTTGGCCAGCATAAGAGATGTAATAAATAAAAAATGTCACCAACCCTAAACTTTTAAATGGTAGTGTATGATAACTGTGAAGAGCAATTTAAGATATTATTCACTGCTAATCATCGAAGACATTATATACTTCATTCTGCATCTCTTCCGAAGCTCAACAGTCCCTGTCCTCTTACACTTTTATTTTAAATT